ATGACTTCAAGGGGCCCGGTCAAGGCTGTGTGGCAGAAAGGGGAACTTTTGCCGCTTTCTGCTATCCACTGAAGCGCCCGCCATGGCTGCGGCTCCTCCTGGTCCGAAAAGCGTCGTTGCACGTTTGTTCTAAGTCTCTTTGATTAGTCCTGGGTGACTAGCGGCATGACGACAGACAAATACCGCCTTTTGAATTTGAACACGAGGTTTCGTTCTCCTTCCTTTGTTCAGTCATCCGGTCTTCCTCATGTTTCCCTCGGCTCTCCTTGGACTTGCCTTGGTGCAAGCCCTGCCTGTCTTTGCAGAGGTTTCGCGTGGAGCAGAGAACTGTACGTGCGGGTTCTACGACAGTCAGACCAACGAGCTTTACACCGACTCTATCATTGTCTACTTCAATGAAACATCAGGATTACCAGTCGACTTTGTGGCTGAAGAATTCGAGCAAAACTATGCCAAGGACTGGGTATGATACTATTCTTATATGTTACGAGTGTTGGGTTCGTTAGCTAATATCCTTCCTTAGAACGCTGTCTTCCGTGAGGGTGCCTCTCCGGACAATGTACGGCTTGACAATGGCAAGTCTCTGCAGCTTGTAGTGCAGCCTACAACAAAAGAACATCTCGTCCAAGGTGCTAGTCTTAGGACTAAGAGGCGTGATATTCAGCATGGCTCTTTCCGGACCTTGATGAGGCCTGCATATCTGGACGTCTCGGGCACAGCTACCACCATGATGTGGAAGTACAACGAGACTGAGATAACAGAGCTCAGTGTCATGAACAATGATCGTCTAACCCAGCCCTGGGTTGGTACATTTGTCAACAACGAATTTACCACCCGCAATCTTGGAATGAACTTCAGTCAGCTCATTAACGGAACTGCTGCAAACAGAAACTACACCACACTAGGTGGTGGGCTTGGTAATGGCAGCATCAATCCGTGGGACTTTACTGAGTACCGTATCGACTGGACGGCAGACTACATCAATTTCTATATTGGTGGCAATTTGACCCGCACTGTTGAGCACAAGAAAAACAAGGGGATGCCATCAGTCCCCTCTGCTTTATTCTTCAAGCACTGGTCGACGGGTAACCGTTTTTCGATGCGTGGGCCTCCCCGCAACGGAGAATCAGTTGCTGACATTGGCTGGATCCGCATGTTCTTCAACTCGTCAACGATGAATGAAGACTCTCGCGAGGACTTTGTTGCACGCTGTCCCCTGACTGATGCGTGCGCCATGGACGACTTTGAACTGCGTGGCTCTACCCCATACGCGGAAGAAGCTCTGGATCACTGGAAACAGGATGGACATAAAGACATCAAGCGCATGCCGGCACTCTGGATCTCCGTCTCCTGTCTTGCCATCTCAACCCTTCTTCTTATACACACATTCATTCGACGTCTAGCGCCTAAGATCAGCAGAGGAAGTTCCAAATCAGCCCCAGCAGCTCCAGCAGCATCAGAAGGGGAATCCCCAAAGCCTGAAACCGGTGCGGGTACCTTTAGTGAGAGTACATTTACTATGGAATCTACGGATATGTTTTCACGTCCCGGATCTGGCCATGATCATTCCTCTCCAAAACGCCGTTCTGTGGATGATATGACTATCGAGAGGCTTGATGCGAAGCCCGGCTGCTCGACACTTGGAGGATCCACACCCAGGATTGACCTGTCTCGTGTCAATTCCATCATGTCAGACAGTCGCACCACTACGCCCTACGCAAGTAACTTCAACACTAGTCGGGATGACGTCTCCAACTTGGCACCACCTATTCCGGGAATGACATCGCTCAAGCACCACGATTCGATGCTTACGCTAACTGACCCACGGGCCACACTTTCACCACGCCCAGACAAGGTCCAAATGGAGACTGTTACTGAGTCGGCTCTACCAGCTCCGCGCATGCGCCCGCAACCTCCACCAAAGCGGAACCGTATCGACCATCTTGCTGGTCTCACTGCGCTCTGCTCTCTTGTCGTCACCATTATGCATTTTGGTCTTACTTTTGTCCCTGCCATGGTTCAACCAGGTGCGGATGCACACAATCCCTCTGAGCCGTGGGCACAAAGAATCATCGGCCCCTTCTTGCTCAACCAGATGTGGCTCGGTGTCTTTTTCACTACCTCTGTTCGTTTTCTGACTGCCCCTTACCTACGCAAAGGCAAGATGGAGGAAATTGCCAAAGCAGCTGTGCGCCGAACACCACGTCTGATGATTCCTGTTGCCTCAGTCGCATTGCTCGAATACTTCTTCGTTGACGTTGGTGCAACCAAGTTTCTCCAGTACATCCCCAGTCTTACCTGGTCGACCTGGCCATACGTCACTCGCTACCAAAATTTCGGTCAGTACATTTCCGAGATTCTCGAGCTCATCTACCTGGTTCCCAATGCTGTTCCGCAAATCACGCTGCATTACTGCACCGGTGTGCTCTGGACCATTGCTGTGCAACTTCAGGGCTCTTGGCTTGTGCTTCTCGGCGCCGTTGTTGTTTACGAGATCAAGACACCATGGAAGCGCATGTGCTACTATGCCTTTTGCCTCATCAACCACTGGTACGCTCAATCATGGGGCACATATCTCTGGCTGGGTCTGCTGCTCACCGACCTTGACGTGACCTACAAGTGGAAGGCGTACCTGGCTACACGGACGGCCGCCTACTACGCGACACTAACCTTCTTTTGGGGCTGTGTCATTGCGGGTTTCATGGTCAACGTTGTGCCTATATGGGTGGAGACGACTTTCAATTTCAGCACCGCGGAGCGAGGTGTCCACCCTGACCCTACTACGGGTGAAGCAATTCGCGACACTGAACGAAATGGATACCCAGCTTACAATACGCCGCGTCTTAACGGTCTCCTCTTTGCTGGTGGCATGCAAGCCGTTGTCGAGCTCTCTGCAGTTGTACAATGGATCTTGTCCACGCCTCCTTTCCTAATTCTCTTCCCCCACGTCTTCACAATCTACCTAATTCACGGTCTTGTGTTCTGGTCCTATGGCTCCTGGCTCATGGTGTTCCTCGCGGACCGCGGCTTCAGTTACGGCATCAACGTAGTCATTGTAGGCGTAACCTCTTACGGCGTGCTCTTCGCCTGTCTTCCCATTGTCACGCCTGTGATTGAAGCACTCGGAAAGGATATGACGGCCATGGTATGGATGACAGCCACGAAGAAATCGCCTCCACGCCGACGCACCCTATTTCCTTACCCTGATGACCTATTCACCAGTCGTGCACCCAACGAAAAGGAAGAAGAGAACAAGGCCAACAGCAGCGATGTCGAAACAGGCCTGGCTCAGCGCCAAAGCGACGAAAGCACAATGTATCACGCACGCAGCACCTTCAGCGAAAAGGGCAAGGGCAAAGCACCCGCCTCAGTTGGTGTACACGAGATGCAAGCGTTCGCCCTTAACGAAGAACAACAGCAAGACAGACGGTCAAGCAGTCCAATGGTGAGTCGGTTTAGCGGATAGTTTTTCTCCCTCCCGGAATCGTAGTATACTATTTCATTTTTTTTGTTCTTGTTGCCCAAAGTAAACATGGGGAATAGGGCTGTCTCCTGGCGTATGTTTATTTGAATCTATACGAAAGCAAATTCCACCGCAAATTCTCTGTTCATAGATGCACTATCTTTCGTTGTACAACCCGCACGTACGCACACACTCTCATATTCCCACGCTTCAGCAAGCGCATAGACGATATAGTAGTATTAGTGGATGGTTCGAAAAGGATAATTCCCCTCACCCCATGGTTTCGGCAACGTTGTTTCGGAACCCTTCCTCCTTGCCCCCTTTTCCTAGTATGTCCTCTCAGGGTCCTTACTACTCGTGTTTGTTTCTTTTTTTCTACATCCTGGCAATTGCTGTTCTTGTCTTTTGTTGCTTCTTTTTTGTGGCGTTGCGCAACAACCCCTTGCCAGTTCTATCTTGAGCGTCCGCGCTTGGCTCGATTGGTGGTTCAGGCCTATAAATAATACCATACCCGTTTGATGTAGTTTGTTTTTCTTCAAGGGAAAGGAAAGAGAGAAGTTAATGCCCATAAATTTAAAAGATGTTTGAAAACTGGTATCGTGAAACGTAACGACTTTTTTTGTCTTGTGCATTGGGAGTCAACGAGTACTTTCAAACGTCAATCTTTGTTTTCGTGCTTTGTTGAGGAGAAGGGTGTGGTGGTGAGGTGTGGTGTATTTTCTCCCTGGTGCATCCTTTGGCATGATTTCCAGTTCGGCTTATTTGTGTACTGCAATTAACAGGGTGAGTTTGTTCTTTAGATCGTTAGGTATGTTTGACGAAGCAGTGAAGCTGTCAATTAGAGTAAGGGCGATAGAATAGTAGTGAGCTTCATGAAAAGCCAGCAATCAGTCTGAGCTCGAATATCCAAGTGGAATTTTTGAACTTAATTGAATTCCAATTCAACAAACTAAGCCATAGTAGTGAACAGTCGGAAGATAGACATTGAGTGTTTTTCGGGTGGAAACAAATTCCCATTTGGAGTATGGTTGGCGCTGGACAAGGTCTTGTGGAGAGGGGAGGCTCTCCTTTTAAATAGCTAAAATTAACACTAGCAGACCCAAGTAAAAGTGGGTTGTATTGTAGAACTAACGGCAATGAACACATTGGCATGATACGTTGTTGTCAATTCAGTCATGGTTCTAGTCGTGTCTAAAATGTTCTCCACGTCCCCTGACATATCGTGTTCCAATAATCTCCACGACATGACAGCTCACGGAATTACGTCATGCAATTTTAGATATAAGTCGCTGACGAAGAGTCACTCTCAGGCAACCCAGCCTAAAACAATGTGTATGATCCACTCATGTTGTAGAGTCATGATCTGAACGTACGGATTGGTAATACATCTCGCGCTTGGACCGGAATCTAACACCGAACAGCGAAGAGAACTCAAGCATACGGACAAAATCGCTAGTGCAACGTCCAAAGTCGCACGTACACACATATACTTAATAACTAAGCATCCGAAAATACCATTCCACAAACTCTGCCTCCAATGCCCGCATTCGACCCCATCCCGCAAACAAGCCAGGCGCGTCTTGACGCATCGCTCCCCGACGCGCCACTCGACATAGCAACGCTACTAGCCCACCCGTCAACACCAACCTCCGAAAAGCCCAAAACAGTCCTCTACCTAGCCTACGGCTCCAACCTCTGCAACGAAACCTTCCGCGGCGCGCGCGGCATCCGCCCCCTCTCGCAAATCAACGTCGTAGTCCCCTCACTACGCCTAACCTTCGACCTACCCGGAGTCCCCTACAAAGAGCCGTGCTTCGCAAACACCGCGCGGCGCACATCCTCCGCACAGAAATACCATAAAGATGCGTGGCACAAGGGTCTCGTGGGCGTGGTGTACGAAGTCACGCTGTCAGACTATGCGCACATAATTGCTACAGAAGGTGGCGGGAGCGCCTACGCAGATATACTGGTTGATTGCCATGTGTTGGACAAAGGGGAGGATACGGTTCCCACAGTACCGACGTCGAAGCCGTTTAAAGCGCATACGCTGTTTGCGTCCTCAGAAGACAACGACCGCATTGTGAGACCGGATCCTAGCTATGCGCAGCCGTCGGCTAGGTATCTCAAGTTGATAACGGATGGGGCGCTCGAGTGCGAGTTGCCAGGAGAGTATCGGGAGTATCTACATGGAATACGGCCGTTTAGGATCACGAGTAAGAAGCAGGAGGTGGGCAAAGCGCTGTTTTTGAGTATTTGGATGCCGTTTGTGTTGTTTGTATTTGCGCTGGGGAGGAAGTTTTCAGACGAGAATGGGCGCGCGCCCGCATGGCTGGCGAAGTTGAGTGCAATGGTGTTTTCGGGCATGTGGACGAGTTATGATGCGGTTTTCAAGCCTGTGTTTGGTGAGGGAGAAAGGACGGTTGGGGACGATGCGCTGGGAGAGATGGATTCGAGTACATGGGAAGCTCTGTCTACACGGCAAGAGGCAGAAAAGGAATCTTTGTTGGAGGAGTCTGTACAAAACATGTACACGGCTCAGATGGCTGTACAAAGACCCTCGTGCGGGGATGGTGTGGCATTGCGTTGAAGCTACTCTTCTGGTATAAGAAGCTCTTGATTTGATTACAACGAAACGGCAGATCATATTTCAGGATATGGAACATAGATTAGAAGCAACAATGCAAGCCGCATGGCAAAACTATGAGCAAGCATGTTAGCCATTGGTTAATAGTGATATGATGCGTGGTGTAGACACTACAACGCATTCAGAGGCAGGCAGGGCATGCGGCGGGCTCATGGACCAGTAACTATATGTGGAAATGGCTCGGTTTTTGGCCTACAGTAGTGCCACGCTTCTCTGTATGTATACTTTAAACCATCTCCAGTACCAGGTGGGACACCTCAGTGTGCCGCTCGTCTTGTGAAGCCACTCAGAAAATCCATTGTACAGTTACACGGAATGTCGATGCTTGCCCTTTCTTCTTCTCCAAACAACTAGCATTTATTCTCCCCCGTTTTACTGTTACACCACCATTATCATTAAGCTTTTTCTTGTATTCCACCAGTCTCTCAAGCATTCCGGCTTTGATGCTATAGTTTGATCATCAAGCTACAGACGGTTGATATACAATATTTGTATACTTTTTTGTGAAGTATATTTACATTCACCGTACCGCAGATTTGCAGCTTCCTTACAACACTTTCTAAAGACTCATATCTCAATTCGTATCTTTTCATAGTCTTCTGCGAACGCTATGCTTCGCAAAAGTACATCGCATCAGTCCGTCTGGGATCATTCGTCCCCCTCACGAAATTATCACTGCTGCGAGTGTAACCGTTCGGCCCGGCTCGTGTTGATTGTCGATGCTACACTGAAGTTGCTTCACGTTCGTGCAAAGGACTACAAGCCTCTTGTTGTCTGTAGTTGTGCATGTCATACCCGGATCAACGCACGGCGAAGATCTGCGTAGGATGCTGTGTCTGGTCTCGAGAATTGTTTGTTGGAACATCACTTGAAATACGAAGTTCTGGGTGGTTGGAGGGTATGAAGGATGATTGGATACTAAAAAAGATGTTTCCTGTGGTGATTTTGGATAGATAAAATTATTTTATATGTTTTTCGGTGGTATAAAGGCAATCAATGAAGTTTTCTCCTTGCAAGCTCCACTATGCTTATGTTTCTATCTTACTCACCTTTTCTCTCCCCGTGTGTACACTTTCAGATCATTGAATCGAGTTACAATTGTACTTTTCATATCAGTGGGGCTCACGCAAGATAAATTAGGCTGTGTATAGCAGCAGTGAAGACGCAAACGTACAATGTTGCATCACTCACTAGGCCACTCACAATCACCTCATTGTAAAAAAAACCTCCTTCACTGCACATTTTTCTCGACACTCATCCCCTTATATATATCTATCCATAATACTACACAGCTGTACTGTATGTTAATCAACAACAGCAGATAGAAACAGTCTCATTGGCAACTGAAAGTAACAGGCTGGCCTTCTTGGATCTGCAGCCACACAAGAAATCATGGATCCCTCACAAGCCTACAGTGTCGACTCCGACAGCCCACCACGTTCGAGTCAAGAAACGATGCGCCCCAAGAAGAAAGGCTTTCACCACAAGAAGGAAGAGCGTCAGAACCCCGTACCGGGCTCGACAAACATCTGTTTGAATGCTCCAGGCGCTTCTCCCCTGACTACAGACGAGGAGCACTTACGAATTCAAGAAACGGCCGCTGGAAGCTCTGAAGACGAGAGGTATGCTGGCTTGATGCACCCCCTCGACATGATGGAAGGAAGCTTCAAGTACGCTAGACTGCCGCTGACACCAAAAATTTCTGGCAGTGTCGCACGCGGGCGCGTTATGGCGGCAAGTCGACTGCGAAATTTCAAGGTGCAACAACTACCTCTTAGAGGACGCTCCAAATATACAGAGACTCCAGCAGAGTTGGTTCCAGGCCCGCCAGCAAACACAGTCACTTTTATCGACGAAGAGAACGAGCCGTCCGATTCAATTGGCAAATGGCGCTGTTGCAAGTGCGGCGACAGTCACGATATCTACAGCGTCGCACATGGCCAACATCCTGTCAGTGTCCTGAACTGCAACTGCATGCACGGCTCCTGCTCCAAATGTACACTGGAAGGTTTGATGAAACAATTCGTACCCATGATCGAGCCAGAAGTCGTGCACCTATCAGAGGACGCAAACAAGGCCGTACGCTTCGGCGTATTCTGCGATGGCTGTGGTCAATCCTGGCGCGCGCAAAAGGTCAATGACGACGCGAACAAGAAGGCAGCAATCAAAGCAGCCTTGACACGAATATCCGCGATCCCCAGACGCCTCAACAAGCGCGATCCACACCCTCTCAAGAACATGCGGGCCTCAAGGTCAATGGATCACCTCCTCCATCCTTGCACCCCTTGCGCCACAATGGCAACCTCCAAGTCCGCCCTCAACCTCCGCGCACTCTCCAACGAGATGCAGAAAGAACACGGCGAGCAGGCAGAGCTGGTCTCTGTCCGGTTCACGGGTATCAGGTGCGACTGTGGTATGATGACTGACTCCAACTCGCTTTGCTTCCAGATTGTCGACCCGCCTAGAGACTTTTACAGAGTCCAGTTTATGAAGCAGATGGCTGGACGTCGAGTCGCTGGCTTTGGTACCACGCCAGAGGACAAGGTGAAAGGCCATGGAACGCCGGTTCTAGTCTTGAGAGGCTATATTCGCCACCCGAATCCGCTCATGAGCAGCCCTGTCTCGTAGTGTGGCGTTGTTGCAAGTAGGTCCGAAGAAAGGTGGATCTGAAAGACTGGCTTTATTGTGCATTGCGCCGAATACTAGGGGTTGTAAGATGATTGGGACTAGGCAAGCCGTCTAAGTACTTGCCCTTTCTCTCTTGGATTACACCGGTCTGGAGTAGTCTCCCGAGTACTTGGCGTAGATATTCGTCAAGGATACTGTAGGCATCAATTAATTAAGGAAAAAAGATGCTCAAAATGACTGCCTTTCGGCTGAATTGGGTTTCTGTGACTGTTTTACCCCAGATGATGTTCCGTGTGCACGGTAGCACAGCCTCAGGCGTTCCATTGCGTGAACACAGTGTTCGCATGCGCGTGTCTGCCATCGGGCTTTGTTTGAATCATTATGGTCCTTATGACCTTCTCAGGCATTTGTTAGTTTTATCAAAGGAATTGCTGCCTCGTTGTGTAGCTGAGACTGTTTCGGCGCTGATTGTGCATATGTGCTTGAACTCAGGCATCAGCCGTCATCCTCGCTGTCGTGATGTTACCTTCAGGCACAGCCAGGTCGTCAGCATCCAGATGCTTGTAATTTGATAGCACTTGCCTATTATGGGTGTAGGCTGAGGCGCTGAAAACATGGAGTCGCTGACATCTAAACGGTCATATTACAAGCGCTTTAGACGCTTGTTCAGGCACCGGGGTACACTACTAGTACTAGTATGTGGCGGTGCAAGGCGTGACGCTCAGCAACCAAGCGCTTAATCGCATCAGCACCATCATCTAGATAAATCGGTGAATCGCCGTGCGCCATTGTTAACAACACCCTTTGTCGCTTTGACATCAAAAAAGTTTCACGTTTCAAACACTATCAACAAACATTTGTCTATATAGTCATTGTCCAGTTTGCCCCATTGTGTACTCAAGCAAATGTCACTAGCCAAGTATGATCTCGTGCCCCACCAAGATCCCAGTACATAACCCTAGACACTCCAACTTACATTCACAAACTCAGACTCCAGCTTCCGCGACAAACCCCATCTTGCACCTTATTACCTCGAGCAGCCACTTCTCCAGCGCATCCGGAAGTACCGTTTGCTATAAAGAAATTAGTACACCAGTTGAGCCATAACCTAGCCGCCAAGGATCCAGCTCCTACATCAACACCAGCCATGGTCTTTGGAAAAGACATCATCGATAAAATGCGCGGCAAAAAGACCGAGCCTGAACCAGAGTCTGAACCTCAAACCAATATCCCACAAGGCGTAGACATCGACCAAGACGTCGAAGACGTCAAAAACCAACTCCCCCCTCTACCCCCAAACCTGCCCACCCGCCACAAGGACTTTGTACACTGCGTACCGCCCGAAGCGCCTACATACCGCAAATTCAGCGTCTTCACCGCCGGCAGCATAGAAATGGGCAATGCCGTCCAGTGGCAAAAGCACATGGTCAAACTGCTCTCCCACCTCCCCATCACAGTCTGCAACCCGCGCCGCGGCCATTGGAACCCGCACATTACGCCGCAGGCCCGCGACAAGGACTTCAAAGACCAGGTCGAGTGGGAGCTCGCTGCACTCGAGCAGGTCGATGTCATTTGCTTCTTCTTTGACGTCACGACAAAGAGTCCCGTGTCGCTGCTTGAATTGGGTCTGTGGGCTGGCTCCGGGAAAGTGGTCGTGTGCTGTGGCGAAGGGTACTGGAAGGGCGGCAATGTGGAGCTGACGTGTGAGCGCTACGATATTCCCCTGGTCAAGTCGTTTGAGGAGCTAGTGCCGGCGGTGGAGAAGATGCTGATTGAGAAGGGTATGGTGCTTGATGCTAATGGTGATTTGGTGGGGGAGAACGTGCACGTTGACAAGGAGAAGCCGAAGAAGAAGGCGCAGCTTGAGGCTGAGAAGGAGGATTTGCAGAAGCAGATTGATGCGCTTCAGGCACAGCTGGCCGAGTCGAAGCTGTGACTTTTTTTAGGGGATTTCCTTGTTTTTCCATTTCTTAACTTGCTTTTCACTGCATTCACGGTACGAGTCAATTGGGCGGCAGGCTATTTGAGCGCGTCTTATTCAAGGCGATCATGGGTGGCTTTTTTTTTCATTTCACGTCTGGTCTATACCCTTGCATGTAGCATTCCTCTCAGTTAGACGTCGTGTCAATATTTCCAAATCACCCTTTTCCCACTAAGAAAATGCATCTGGAACTGAGTTCGCCATGTAGTAGCAAATTTAACGTGCATCCACTCGTAGCGGAACAGCACCTGTGACGGAACACTATTATCCTCGCACCTACTTTGCACATGCCCACATGATAGTAAGCATTTATTTGGACTGTACAATCAAACTTCTACTTTTTCTACATCTAGTACCAGCTTTCAAATAGAAAATTACAAGCCTTTTGGTGGCGTATCTACTCGTTCTATTCGCGATGACTGTCCACCCCTTAATTGTTAACCCCTTTGCGATAATACCAGATAACATGAGCTCAACTCTCGGGGCCCTGGAAAGTGGCAAAAACTGCTAAAGCCTGATATGCCAGGCTTACAGCTAGTGGGAATCTAGGGAGAAGGAGAAGAAAAGTATCTCCATTGGGGTACCAGATTTGCCGTGCGCCACAGGATGGGCCAAAGCCGGAATGTTTCCGTACAACCCGGATAGAGTCCTCAGAACTATCACTAAACTAGAGATCGCCGTGCCGGACCATACCGCCACCGAAGTCAGTAAACAGTGACCGCAAAATGAGGTAGTCCAAACACCAGCAACACCAACCTCCTCCGAAGAGCTGGTGGTGCTCCTGAATCAGATCAAGCCAGAACCGCATGATGAGGCAAGCAAACAGCGAAAGCAGAGGCTTATAAAGAAGTTCGGCAATGCTGCAGAAAAGTCTTTCGCTAGGGAGGCACTCGATCAAGACCACATTCAGTTCCTTGCGCAGAAGAACAACGAAGCTAAAACCCGCCGAGCAACGAAGTCGGCCATTCTTAGTGTGGCAAGGGTGGTGACATTTGAAGATCTCCGGGACGAACGGGCAAAGCGTACTGAGAAAGCAGCTGCCAAAGCAGCTAAGGGCAAGGCGAAGCCTGGTAGGAAACCAAAGAGTACACCATTGCATCCAGGAGAAGCAACTGCGAGTAAGGGCACGCGTGGCAGAAGGACCAAATTTGCTGTGCCAGAGCAAGGCCCTCAATCAGAACTAATATATGATGTGTCTATGCAAGCAAGCGGCACAAAGGTCGTAGAGGAGGCCATCGCAGGTGAACCTTGGAGGGCTCCAGTAGCGAAAATGTGGTAGGCACTTATGGTCCTCAAGGTCAGGTAGATAATACGAAGGGCGCAGCGTAAACATAAAGTCAAGTACGAGTCTGTGAATGCCGAGGGTCTACATGATTTCCGCAAGGACATTTAGTAAGACTTTGTTGTCTATCCGGCAACCCTCGGTTGGTGTGACACCATGTTTGTATCCAGCGCGAAGCTTAAGATTCAAGTCTGCAGCGCTGTAGCCTTTTAGATTACTCTTTAGAACGAGCGAAAAAGCCCATGAACAGAGCGTGGTCGTGTCTGATACATCGTCTGCAGTGACTGCGTTGCTGAGTGCTTCTGTCATCAAAGCATCCATAGTCACCTGACCAAATTGCTCTATGTGGGAAGAGGCGGAGGCAGCATGAAAGTCAGAAAACTCCCATGGTAGAGGTACATCGATTTGCGCCAAGTATAAGAATGCTCGTTTCGAGGTCGAAACATCTGCGGATTGGCCAGCTGTATGTTGAGGTTGTTCTTCGTGGGCTGCAGTAGGTGGCATGTGTGGCTGGTCGAGATCAGATATCGAGCAAAGTACAAGTGTTGTAGGATCTACATACCTCCAGTCTGTCCAGCGAGGGATTGGGAGCTGAACAATATTTGGATACAGCATGATCATCTCCCAGCGGCGGCCACGAGATATCCGGAGCCATTCGAACAGCATTACTGTAAGCGTCGAGAACCTCATTGCGCAATCCCAGGGCCTGCAGGAGCCGCTTCAACGATCTGTTTTCTGAAGCAAGCTCCTCAAGCTTCTGTTTAGTTGTAGTTTCAAAACCCATGCCTTCGTATTGACGGATCTTGTCTTCGAGGCTTGCAATGTATTCTTTTTGTCGCGCGCGACAGCGGCGTTGGTTGTTACGGATGCGCTCTAGATCTGTAGCCTGTTCTCCAAGTTCAGTACTCACGCAAGAAGCTGGGATGCCATGATCGACCGCACCTTGCCTTTCACAGCAGAGCTCTTGTTGCTCCCCATTTCAAGTTTTGGCAGTACTGAAGTGGCTGCCTGGAAGGCCTGCTACTAAGGGTTCTTACACTCTTTTCGTCGGCGAACAAGATTAGACACTCAAAAGACGCCAATTTTCGCCCAATTCAAAATCGGACATATGTTGTTGCAGCTCAAACAGGGTTGGATCATACGTAGTAAGTCGTAAACCATGGCGTCAGTAGCCGAGAGTGCCAAGATCCGCCAACTTAATAGTTTTGGCCTGTCAACGATTGAGTCCCTGTTCAGCGCATCGCTGACCGACAATGTTTATGAGGTCCCGCATCGACGAGCCCTCAGGTCGAAACAACATTGATTCTCGTGCAAATTACTTACAGACCCTCGGTATGCCCTAGGGGCATAACGGCAAACTAGCACACGCGACAGGTGAATGCTAAGAGGAGACTGAGGGTATTATGGTTGCAAGGCATGGGACAAACGTACTTCTACGAATCTCGAAACTACGCTCTACACAACAGACTTCGAGTACGGCACACACGCAGAAAGACAATTCGAAGACCCGAACACAAACAAACACGTCACTTCCAGAGGCAGAATGTATATAGTCGTAGATAGAAGCCAGACAACGCAGGGACGGGGCAACAGCGGGTCATACCATTGTTATGATGAAGTGAGGCGGTGTTGATAGACTCAGCAGCGTGTCGGCTATCTGCGGAGCCTTTGCATCTGGGCATAGTCTCGCGGCTGAAACTGAGTAGGATGAACCAAACAACTATACTCACAGGAGCTGAACGAAATCCAAAACATAACAGCAAGGCCGATTGAATCGTTCATAGAGCATGTCAAGAACTTCGTACTCCCACACCGGGTATTAGTTTGTATCATAGCTCAAGATATATCCGAGGGCACTAGGCCAAACGATCCTGTGGCTGGCGACCTTTCACTCTACGAAGTTGGAACATAAACCCGCTCGCTATTACATATGAAATGCCAGCAAAAATCTGAGTGTAGAGATACTCCTTAGAGGAAGAAGACCGTCGGAGTTTCAATGCAATGCCTTCAGAGACTGACCAGTGCTGTTAGCTGAAAGATTCCAAAGATGGTCATCTAATCAAGACATACCAACAGTAGGAACTATTATTGCAGCCCAAGACAGAGACAACAACGATTGCAAGTTCTTTATCCCAGCAACCTCAACGCAGAGCGGACCTATAGTCTGCGTATGATGATGTTAGCGCATGCACCGCAGATTGAGAAGGTTCGGCACTCCTAGCGTACCATCCAAAAGACTCCAACGATAGCCCCACAGAGGGTTGAAAAAACCACTGTGAGCGCAAAAGATGTAGCCGGAAGCCAGAATATAAAGCATAAAAGACCACACAGCAAAGTCAGAACACCTGCCGTATCGATTCGGCTCCATCTGTCGCTGAGTATGCCAATGATTGGTCGTCCGACTGCTGTGCCGACGTTCAACAAACCAATCACGTCCGTAGCCTGGGCTCTGGTAAGGCCTATAGACAGAGCAAAGTCGGACAAGGAGAACAGAAGGACTATACATCCTAGCATGCTGATGAAAGCCCAAACAAGCAGCAGTATCACGTCGTATCGACGGAGGAGTTGGGCGTCGAATCCACGCTGAGAAGGTCGGATCACATCGTTTCGGTCCCGTATTGCTATTATTGCGGCAAGATTGGCGGCAAATGCGATTATTCCCGTGATGCGTAGAGCCCAACCGATGGTAAAACGCTGAATGATAGCCTCTGTGCCCCACGCAAAGGCAGCACCGCCAACGCCTGAGCCCGCAGCGCTGATTCCGTTGGCTAAGCTGCGCCTTCGAACGAACCACTGCGAAAGGATGGGAAGGCTGGGAATGTATAAAAAGCCAATGCCACAGCCGATAAGAACGCCCTGACAGGCATGCAATTGCCATACTCGTGTGGCGAAAGAGGCTGCAATGAAGCCGCCGCTTTGGAAGATTAAGCCAGCAACCATTGTCACGTGTATCCCAAATCTCCGAGTTAGAATAGTAACAATAGGTGCTATAAGCATAGCTATTGCAAAGTTGAAGCCGCCAGTAAACGCATAGTCCCAAGTGGATGCACCCGGGAAGATGTCGTCAGCCAAGTAGTGTGAAAGGTAGATGCCGTATGCCTAGACCGACGAGTTAGTACGACTGCTACCTGTGAGTGAAGCACTATTGGCATAACAAGAGTATAGGATGCAGAAATAAGCTATCTAAAGCATTATTGAAGAAAGTGTAAGATTACCGAGACAGTGCCCCAAGTGAAGCAGTTGATTGTGAAACAGGCGGCTACACAGATCCAGCCATATCCACCGTCCGGAGGAGCCTCTTCGTTTGCACTGTCATGTTCGCTTATGTTATCGAACTCGTTCATGTTTGCAGATGGTGAGTCAATGGATTGAGTGGCTATTCGATTTTGCGTAAGCCAAATCAGATGAGAGACTGTGCGAAGTGATTGCAGGCACCCGGGGTGTTCTAGAGTGGTTAAATAGAAGTGGTATTTAGCATGTCACCAGCTCGTTGCAACATGTCACTTCTGCAGCAAGGGTGCGCTACAGCTGTAGTCTGCGGCTTAGCGAGCTCTACAAGTGATTGCTCCGTACATAGCTACTCGCTATTGTATCTATCCTCTACGCTCGAATTTAAATCAGATTTGAATTGGCTTTACATACAAAACTATGGTATTGTACAGAACATTTTATAGCGTCCTAATCAGCGTGGACACCAAACAAACTATTAGATCTCCCCCCCTGCTGATCACATCTCGGTTAAAGAGACACCATTCTGCGTGCCTAATAACCTCGCTTTCTTCTCCTTGATCCTCCTCTCCTCTCTTTCGCTATACCGATCCCCGAAAAGATCGAAATGTGGCCGCATTACCAAGGTGTATCTCACAAATTCTTCCATACAGTCAACTAGCCTATCTCTGTTCCCGCTGGGCATAAGCCTGCTCCCTCCTTCGTCTGCATTTTCCTCTGTAAATTGCGTGTAAGCCATAGGGATTGAGCTCTGGTTCGGGATGGCGAACATGCGCATCCACCGTCCGAGGACGCGCAGAGAGTTTACAGTGTTGAAAGACTGAGATCCACCGGAGACCTGCTATCACCAGTATTTCGCCAACGCCTGAGCCCGATCCAGAACACAGACGGCGTATTTCATCAGCTTCTCGATCTGCGTTCATTTGAGAAGAGAAAGGCTGCGCGAAAATCCGGTACGATACCCAAACGGGTATAGCTTACCATCGTCACACTGTTCCACGTTTGCGCATTGCACCAAATGTCTGAATTCTTGATTCTGGTCCGCATTCAACTACCCCTTTCCTGTGTAGCATAGCTAGCTTCTGTAAAGACTGAGACCGTCATCAGACCTCAAGATTGCGACCAGACCTTAGCATCGTATTCTGTCATCCACTGGATGTACTCATCGCCTGCCGTTGCCCATCCTTTCACGCCCTCCGCTAGCGCGAGGCTCTCCATCTGCTCATCCCTTTGATCTGCAATGTAGTCGGCGAACCAACCAGCGGCACGGTTGCCACGTCCTTTCGAGGAAGCTAGAATGCGACAAACCTAGTTAATCTCATGGACATGTTTGGGAAGGCGCTTCTTGGTGCCAATCCGCTACGAAACTACTAGAAGGGAACATACAGCAATACCAGATTATTTTACAGAGGCCTGCGTCCTTGAAGAGCTTGTACAAAGTCGGTATAGCAGGGTACAAGCTCTGCGCAGGAAGGTTGATTGAATCACGGATGGTGCCGCCCTGACTTTAGTTAGCTCTTTCCACAGAAGGGCAAGGTGACGGTCAATCTTGTGTACCTCATGGTCGTTGCGACGCAAATCGATGAGAATGTAGTTTCTGCTGGAAGTCTCTGCGCTCTGTTTAATCATGTCGAGAACAACCTCTCGACGAATAGTGGCAGCCGTATTTCGGGGTGCTGGATATGCAGCATGCCATGGCGGGGGCGGACCTGTGATGCTTGCGGTAGCCATTGTTTGAAAATGTTTGGAGAATTTACGAGGGACCTTAAGGATCATCGTGTGAAGACGTTCTGGGACCATTAATAATGTTATGCAAGAACAACCGCCCCCGTGTATCCGCACAAGCAAGTTCGTGCTGGTAAGTCACTGCTGGACGATGATTGGACAAGACCGAAGCTACCTTTGCAGCCTTCCTACGTGTGCTATTGTCATCTGCGACCTCGGACATAAGAAGGAGCTCTCCTGGACCCGACTATCATCTTTGTTAACTTCAAATACTTGTGGAGGCCAGCTAGTAGCATCTCTGTTATTTACAACAACACATCTCCCCGCGACAACCTTCAAAAGCAATTAATATGACGTTATCGTCAACGGAAGGGCCCAAACCCATCAACATCGAATCTGCCTGTCCTCCCAACGACGCGGATCTCGAGAAGCTGCAGCTCGAGGAGCAGATAGCAGTGAAGAAGGGCTCCGTGATCAAGGGACTAGGTTGGCTGGACCGCTTCCTTGCGGTGTGGATCCTTCTTGCTATGATTATCGGTGTCCTTCTAGGGAACTTTGTCGAAGAAACAGGGCCAGCGCTACAGAAGGGCAAGTTCGTTGGCGTGTCAATCCCGATAGCTGTGGGCTTGCTCGTTATGATGTATCCGATTCTTTGCAAAGTCCGCTACGAGACGCTGCACAGCCTCTTTCGAACTCGCGCTCTCTGGATCCAGATTGGGTTCAGTATATTCATGAACTGGATTGTCGCCCCACTCCTTATGGTGCGTCTCACCTCCCGTTCAACCCAGCTTCGACTAACACACTATAGCTCGGTCTTGCGTGGGCGTTCTTACCCGACAGGAGCGACTTGCGGATAGGACTGGTCTTAGTTGGTCTGGCGAGATGCATCGCCATGGTAAGCTCATACATCCCTTCTTCCTTTGCAATACAGTGCTGACATTCACTAGGTTCTAATCTGGAACGGACTTGCAGGTGGTGACGATGAATACTGTGCCATTCTAGTGGCAGTCAACTCCATTCTCCAGATGATACTCTACGCTCCGCTCGCCATCCTTTTCATCAAGGTCATCAGCCGCGAAACTGGGACCGTCGCCGTCTCCTATGATCAGGTCGCCACAAGCGTTGCAGTATTCCTCGGCATCCCCTTGGGCGCTGCGATCTTTACGCGCCTCATACTGCGGAAGCTGATTGGCGCGGAGTGGTACGAAAAGGTGTTTCTGAAGTGGCTGGCTCCGTGGTCACTCGTCGGCCTTCTCTACACCATCCTCGTTCTCTTCGCCTCTCAGGGTCGCCAGGTGATCCACCAAATCGTCTCCGTCGTTCGAGTCGCCGCACCACTCATCGTGTACTTCATGGTCATCTTCTTCTTCACGCTATTCGTATGCAACAAGCTCGGATATGGATACAAACTGGGGGCAACGCAAAGCTTCACAGCTGCAAGTAACAATTTTGAGCTCGCGATTGCCGTCGCTGTTGCCACGTATGGTCCTGACAGCGACCAGGCACTTGCTGCTACTGTCGGGCCTCTCATCGAGGTACCCGTGTTGATCGGATTGGTTTATCTAGTGAGGTGGATGGGTAGCAGATGGGCCTGGAAGAGTGTTTAGTGCATATAGATATGTGTAGCAACAGTTCTCTAATTTACAGGAGGAAATTTTTGTCTTCCCCCGGTATGGCTAGATCACAGCGTGACGTTAACTCAGTGCGGGGCAGTGCTGAGGCTCAGCACAAACATAATCCCGCATCTCACTGTATCTGAAGTGGGTGGCATCTGCGATAGGCGCGTGCGTTGTGGGAGGCGCAGATTTGACAGTCGTGGTGGCCGCAGTCCTCGTCAACGTATCGGATTCGGGTGCATCGGGTTGTGATTGCTGCGGTTCAGCGCGAAAGCTTTCTCGTAAGTCTGACCTGAAACTAACATTAGGGCTGGAAGTATTTGACATGCGTGTACGTTGAGCTTATGTAATATAGATTACGATAACGTGTTCCACCAGTAAGCGGCCCACCCCAGTAAGTGGCCCACCCCACCAAACTTGACCTGACGTTCTACGCAATTGAGTCACAACAACGTAATAAAATAAGATAAAACTTGAAAAATATAATTTATTATCT